TCTCTCTCTCCCTCTCTCCCACTCTCTCTCCCTCCCTCTCTCTCTCCCTCCCTCTCTCCCCCTCTCTCTCCCCCTCCCTCTCCCTCTCTCTCTCTCTCATCATGGCTTGGCAATGAGCCTCTCCTTGCCGTCTTCCTCTGCTGCTGCTTATGCACAGACTTGCCCTTCCCTAGTAATACTTCACCTCGGTTGAATATTTAAACCTGATTCATTCTGAGCATCCGATCTACAGAACCCATTGGAAAGCTGAATTTTTGGTTCATTCCTTTGTCTTATTTCTCACCTGGTTTAGAACCAAATGAGGAAGACAAATGAGACATTTTTCATGTATATGAGCTATATAACTATTCCTCCCTTGTGGTTAGTCGAGCTACTTTGAATTTTTAGAACACTTGTTTTTTTTAAATGTAGTAGGTACTTGCTTTTAACCAAATATAAGCTGTTTATGTCTAGAAATAGAATGGACTTTGTGGTCTTCAAGAGAAGGGGCTCTTTCTACCTCTGTATATCCTGCCTCGTTTACCACTTAGCTTTATCATTTGTTCTACAGCAGTGTTAGGGTGCAGCAGAAATACACTCAGCAGCTCAGATATATGCACACATATGGATTGAGTGCGAGTAAACATAATCAATAACAGTGGCCAAGGACTGAAATATCCATGAAAGTACAAAGCAAGAGGAAAAAACAAGCCTAATATTTTAGGAGAAAAAACTACACATGAAGATGAAACTTTTCATAGCCTAGACATGAAGCTGTTCTGAAGCTATAATAACCCAAGTCTGGGGGATGATCTACTTGAAATTTGAAATGTTATTCCCCAAACTTTTCTTGTGTAGGTTAGTTTCTTGTGTATTTTAAAAATAAACAGTATATTAGTATTTTTAGGGTGAGAAATAATCCCTCTTATCTTGATAGAAAAAACTGACCTATAGGCTGTTCATCTGGTGACTATGCCAAGTACAGCACCACAGTAATTTCTCAGTTGAATTTCAAGTTCTTATTATCTCCTACCCAGATAATTACAGCAACTTCCTAACTGGCCTGCAACCACTCATTCTTACTCTAATTCATCATTCTCATAATTGTGGTCCTGATTTTCACCAATCACAGCTTTCCTCCTATGTCCTGCTCTTAAATTTTTAGTGGCTTGCTGTTAACAACTTTAGATGGGAGAACTCAGAGGAGCCTGCTGTGGTCAGGAGGTGGCCTTTGTTTATGCACCCTTATTCCCATCACCTACATAATTATCATTCAGTCCTGCTAATAGTTGATTGGTTGACTACAGAAAGTCAGAAATTATTACCAGTTTCCACATGCACAAACTTTTCTTTAAAGGAGGAAAACCTTATTTTTTTTTTTTTACTGATTTTTAGTACAAGTATTCCTTTTTGTTTAACATCTTTGTGTTCTAATATAATGGGGTTGGTTCTTTGATTATCTTTGCTAGCATCAGTTGCTAGCAACTAGCTGTGTTTGATCAGTCTTATTGCATAAGTAGTATACATAAATTAGGTTGAAAAGTTGATACCCACAGTCCTTTTGGCTATGAGGAAGCACCACCAACTACTTGTGTTTTGTCTCCCATTATTTCTTAGGGACCTGTCTTTAGTGTCACATTTTCAAAAAGTGGGGAGATGTTTTCATCAGGAGGTGCAGATACACAGGTTTGTACACCTTTCAACTCTGATTTGAAATTTGACTTTTATAAAGGAATCTTTGACCTCAGCTAAGATTTTTATAACCAGCTAGTTCGTGTATGTTAAGATGATTATCAGTGGGTTTATGTTTTATTTTAGTGACAGGAAGTCTGCTGTTTGACAGCTGAAATAGTTCCAGTTCAAATAGTTTTTAATTCAGGAATTATTTTCTTTTGCTCATTTTTGCACTTAATTATACATGAAGCTCATACTTACTTGATAGCCAGTTTCAGGGAGCAGCTCTTTTACTTGAATTATTTCCTTTTATCTGTATATCTTGTTTCTTCAAATATTAAGCTTATTGAAGTTGGCCAGTTTAAATCATTTGAGGCAAATCTGTACTTACTCGAAATGACCAAAGTCATCCAGAGCCAGATTTATGTTATTTATTTATCCATTTATTCATTTGTTTGTTTGATTTTGCAGTGCTAGAGATTAAACCCAAGGCCTTGGCACTGAGCTACGTTCCCAGAGTTGCTATTATCATTATTAGTAGTAGTAGTACTTTTATTACTATTATTATATTTTGAGACAGGGTCTTGCTAAGTAATCCAGGCTGAGCTCCTACATGCATTTCTCCTGTCTCAGCTCCCAGAGTGCTCAAATTGCACAGATTTATTGAACAAAGTGGATGACCAGCCTGTGTGGTAGCACACGCCTGTAATCCCAGCTACTTTGAAAGCTGATGCAAGATGATCGCAAGCTCAAGGCCAGCCTGGGCAACATAGCAAGGCCCTGTTTTAGAAGAGTAATAAGGGCTGGGCATGCAGCTCAGTGACAGAATGCCCTGGTAACATTACTGAAATATATATATATATATGTTTGTGTTAACCTTTCTGACTACTTTGAGGGGTGAGTCTTTATATTTTTTTTAAATGCAGTTCTGTTGTTTGTATGTGCAAGTCAATAAATGCCAATATTGCTGACTTTTTATAGGTCTTATTATGGAGGACTAACTTTGATACATTGCATTGTAAAGATCTTAATAAAAGAAATCTCAAAAGACTGCATTTTGATTCACCACCACATCTTCTTGATATCTATCCAAGAACACCACATCCTCATGCGGGAAAAATTGAGACTATTGAAGTGAGTATTTTATACATGTTTGTCCTACATTTCTATATACACTATGGGCTATTAAAAGTATATAAAACCTGGTTCTACCCTAAAGCAGCAGCACATTGACAAAGTCTATTGTACATATGCTAGTGTGTAATAATGTTAAAAGCCTTTTATATTCACTTCTTGAAGTCTGGAAGTAAAGCTAAGAAATTGTGTCATCAGTAATAGGAAATAAGAAATTAAATCAAAGGCCTCTAGTGACCCCAAAGTCTCATCGGCGTCATACTCTAGCTATTTTTAGGGGGTCACATGATGAATGTCAAGAGAACAATATTAAAGGGCAAGGATTTTTAGCACAGTTTTGAAATAGGTATCTTGAAATCCTTTCACAACAAAAACTGTTCTTATGAACGGTAAAAATAAAAGATTTAGGCATTAAATCTAATAACAGACTACTTTATTTCTTGCTTACATATATTTTTTTTTCCCCCATTAAGTTTATTGGTACATTTTCAGTATAAAATACAGTTCCATTCATCATTGGGATCTTGTACCTTTACATGAGTATCCTAGTTCTTATTTTTCCCCTTCCCCTGCCCTCTCTTCACCCCCCCCCACCCTTCCCTATTTGCAAAGACTTTGTTT